GATTTATTTTTAAAACAGGACATCTACGGTAATACATCGTCCCTAATAATAGCTAAAGAGAATATTAACTGAACTATAAATGCTGAGAACAAACAAAATGCGTTCAGGAAACTATGAATAAGTTACAAGAAATATTTTAGGATTGGTTCTTGTTTTAAATTACTGGTTAGCAAATCCATGCATGTTGGAACACCGTTTAATAACCATTTGCCAATGACATTCGAACAGGCGATGCAAATTGGAAGCCTAAATGAATGCAAACATCCAAACAGGGTGAAAATAATCAAAATTTGAATATTTTAAGGATACATTTCCCACATTTTCCGTAAATGTAAACACTTTAAATAGTTCCAATAAGTTTCTGTGAAGTAAGCAACCGATGAATTCAACCACGTCCTACATTTAATGAGACATCAGAAGATAACCAGACTAACAGAAAATGAAATACATTTTGAAATGACCCTAAGGACAATTTTGTGATCTTTTCACATACGCGTGTTTGCCTTTTTTAATGCTAACAGCAGGTAGGATACTTACTGTGACATTTTAACTTTTCCTGTTAGTTCTGCTGTTGCCGTCCTTCCAACTCTAATACCATTTAAACCTCCATAAAGAGCACCTATGAATGTTAACAATAAGTATGATAGAGAAATTTGCTCTCGTCTGAACATGCATTCTGAGATCATTCCTAAAGCTTTACTGGTGTTTTGGGACTACCGTTAAAATCCTATTATAAACCGCGGTTTATATTACAATGTATCAAATAAAAAATTGGGATCAACAGCTCAAGTTCGGGTGCGGTTTCTATTACGTACATATTGCAATCACAAATGGGCGTGGTCATTTTTTTTTGCACATCACTTGCACAAAACAAACAATACACCGTACAATCTTTTGAATATAAGCTAACTCCAATTTAGATGTCAGGGAAGAGTGATAAGCGTCACGCCACAAAAAAAACTGTTCACATGAAAAAAAATATACTCGTATATTTAATGTAATATGCATTTATTTTTTTAATTTTCTTCGTAACGAAAAGTATATTCTGACAGGAGTTTCAAATGAAAACAAACATTAATGCATTGCTTAGTAGAAAATGATCAGTACGGCACTAAAAAAGTATGGTACCGTTGGTACGGTAACGCAATCCGGCCATGCTTCGGCTCACAAGTGAATAACTTGCTTGTTTTCGAAGTGTGGAAATTGTTGATTATTACTCAGTAGTGATTATAATAACGCACAAAAATAAATTTGTTGAATTGTTATCAAATACAAGGAAAATTCAACTTAGTTTAACCGTAAGCGAATTATTTCGGTCACATGTAAACGATCGATGTGATAAGACATCCGCCATGTAGTTTGAATGCACACGAAACGTTACTTGACCGGATAGGTCAAGTCGCTAATTAACCAATCAAAATGCTGGATGGTGCCCATGTGTTCAAATTACCTTAGCTCATTTAAATATGTTAATGAAAGGTCACCGGCTTCATTGTGAACGAAACGCGGAAGCGATTTACCGATAATGTAGTGCGATCTTTTGGCTTTGATTTCCATGGGAAAACGACATGACTTTTTTTTAAATCAAGAAATTAGTTGTTTTCGAAAGATAAACTGAGCATTAAAAAAGAATTTAACAGTTTTTCGGTGATAACAGCTCATTGTCGAAAACTTACGACACACGGACGTATTCGTAAGGAGTATTGACAAAAGTTGTTGCAAGAACAAAAGCAGTTTCACTGCGTGTTTGAAATCCTAACACTACTGAACAATAAAGAGGTGTGAATATTTTTAGGCACGTTGTCGAAACAAATGAATAGGATTAGGAACAACGTACCAGCTGGTTGAAACAAAGTCAGTCATGGTCTTGTTGAATTGGGGGTGCGGTTAGTAATAGGTACTTTTCATGTTTTCAATTTTTGTTGAGAACTCTTTAACACAGAAGCCGAAATCGGGGGTGCGGTTACTATTAGGTATGCGGTTTATAATAGGATTTTAACGGTATTGTATGAAATATTTTAATGGTATGAATTACTGTAAAATACTTTATTTTAGCTGGAATTAATTTTCGCTGAAA